TTGTTGCCACATTTGACTTTTGGAAAAATAAAAACTAATTTAATGAAAATAAAAATAACCACCTATTACATGATCATCATCCAAACACAGCATAAAAATTAATTTGGTAAAATAAATAAATAAATAAATGTCTAAAAGATTTATTAATTTTGCATAATTTTATTTTTAGTGGATAAAAATAATTTTTAAAAATTCAAAAATATTTTTTTGACATTTATTTTTATCAAATTAGTTTATATTTTGTCAAATTGACAATTTTGCCCTTGAAATTAAGCAATGATATCTTCAATTATCCTTATTTGGAACAAGATTCAAAATTCAAGGTCAAATATGTCACAATTGAAAAATCATGGACCAAAGTGACACAAGTCCCAAACTATAGCGACCGTTAGTGTAATTTGCCCTTAAACTTATACATTTTTATTACAATTATCTTGGAATTTATATTAACGTGACTTATAAATCCACAATTAATAACTAAAATTCTATTAATCAAATAATAAATAAGTTCGATCCTATTGACTCAAAAAAAGTGTCCCACAATGAAAAGAAATAAGCAACTAAACAAATTCTATAATAAGAAATGAATTATCAATTGATTCAATTATTGTCTTGACCTATCAATTAAAAGTGTATAAGAATAATCAAAATAACAAAATATAGAATTTTAAAAATTTTAAAAATACAAAAAGTTTTACATAATTTAAAAAGGGTTACTATTATAATTTTATAAAAGAAAATTAATGCATAATCTTTATCTATATGGGTAATAGTATAAATACCGAATGTTTAGGGGGACACATGACGACCCTAGGTCTTAGGTGGCTCCACTCCCACTCATGAAGTCCATTATATGTCTCATTTTAGTGATTCAAATCGTTTATTTTATAAAACTCTCAATAAACTCAATGGGTCCTTTAAATTTTCTCATATTCAAATTTAAACTTGAAATAAACCCAACTTATTAATTTATTATTGATAACTTTATATGTACAAATTATAACTTAACCATTTATAAGTCTTACCATAAAAATAATTTTTTTCTTACACTTCTCCAGTTAATACCATCCCCGAGTACATTGGACAAAATGATGGTGAAGCTGAGGTCACAGCTTACGTCGAAATGTTTGACTAAGAAAATGTAAAAACATGACTTTTAATACTAAAACAATTTAATTAAGACCAAAAAAAAAAAAAAAATCACTGAATAACTTGACAATCATCATAAGTGACGACTGCACCATCTTAGTTTTAAAAATGAATTATCATTTTAATTATTATTTGTAAAAAGTTGGATTGATAATTAAAATGATAAATATTTTTTATATGAAAAATGTTTGAGTACAAATTGAATACCCTCAATTCATCCCTTCATGGCATAAAATAAACTATATGAATGAGTGGGCCGACACTTCTCATCCATCATTTCTCTATCTATTTTTTTTTTTTACCACCTTATTAAGAGTCAAAATCATGGCGCTATATTAAGGAATATAGTTAGGAGTGATAAGCAAACCAAACAACTTGAGTTTGACTTGTGTTTAACTTGTAAAAAGCTCGTTTGAACTTAACTCTTTAAATAAACGAGTAAAATTTGAACACATTTTAAAGTTTGTTAAAGTTTTCAAATCAAGTTTAAATAGTCAATTGCTCGTTTGGCTTGTTTCAATAAATCTAAAACTAAATAAAATATCAAACTACTTAAGTTCCGCTCGATAAAAGTTCATTTGAGATCGGATTGAAAATTTAATGAATTGAATTTAAACAAATTTTAAAACTTACTAAAATTATCAAATTAAACTTGAGCAATTAGTTAATTATTCGGCTTATTCGATTTGTTATCAACCTACATGTAGGGTAGTTGTTTTTATATATACAATAGTGCATATCTCTATGTATATATAGAGGGAGAATATACGAAGGGAGGAGAGAGAAGTTAAGAGAATGAGCTCAGAAAGAGAGATGACGGAGGAGGAGGAGTGCCATGGATGGGCAGCAAGAGATGCATCTGGATTTCTCTCTCCTTATAACTTTGGTCGTAGGTATGTATGTTTATATATATACGTTCAACCATGTTCATATATATACTTGTGATTCTGAGTTCTTAAATTAAAATGATTCAAATTAATCAACAGTATTGAACCCATCGTCAATCTTTCATCCATCTTGTCGTTTAGCTTTGCAATTTGTTTCTGGGGATAATTACACAATGGTTTTCAGAAAAAGTATATATACATACATAAAAAAATTTATAATTTTAATTATTAATACATATTAAATTTTTCATTAATTTATAATTATTTTATCAACATTTGACGTGATGTTTTCCCAAAAAAATAATAATGAAATTAATATTATAATATGTACTTAGCTTAAGTGGTATGAGTCCTTATACTTAAACCCATGGTCATGGGTTCAAGCTTTCAAGCATTGCCCATCTCTTTGTTTAATTTTTTTTTTAAAAATAAAAAATACTGCCACATGACATGAGGAGAGTAAAGTTTCAGGACACCAAAGTTACTGTTCACTTTATAATAGTACTAGCGGCCGCGCACACGCGATGCGTGTGCAATTTAAATAAATAGAAATAAAAGAAAATAAAAATGAAATTAATATTATAATGTGTACTTAAATAAATAGGAATAAAAGAAAATAATAATGAAATTAATAGTATAATGTGTACTTAGCTTAAGTGGTATGAGTCCTCATACTTAAACCCATGGTCATGGGTTCAAACCTTACCCATCTCTTTGTTTAACTTTTTTCAAAAAAATAAAAAATACTGCCACATGGCATGAGGAGAGTAAAGCTTCAAGACACCATAAGAGTTATGTGTTCACTTTATAATAGTATAGATAGATAGAAGATAGATAGATAGATAGATAGATGTTCAACCATGTTCATATATATACTTGTGATTCTGAGTTCTTAAATTAAAATGATTCAAATTAATCAACAGTATTGAACCCAACATCAATCTTTCATCCATCTTGTCGTTTAGCTCTGCAATTTGTTTCTGGGGATAATTACACAATGGTTTTCAGAAAAAATATATATACATACATAAAAAAAATTATAATTTTAATTACTAATACATATTAAATTTTTCATTAATTTATAATTATTTTATCAACATTTAACTGACGTGATGTTTTCCCAAATTTCTAAGTGTTTTAAAATATGCACTTGAATCCAAGGGTGTTTGACAACTTGGTAAATGTCGGTGGTGATTAAGATCGTAGGTCTCAAGTTCGAAATTTTTTGGGTTAATCTCTTGAGTATAGCGCAGTTGATTAGGAAATTAGTCTTAAGTTGTTGTTACCACAACACATGGTGTGGGCCCAATATTTCTCCGTTGTGCTAATCTGAGAGGTCGGCACAAAATTTCAAGTTATAATTTCTTTACTTGGAATGGACAACAAGATATTTTGGTGATCTCTGCAGGAACGCTGTTCTGGATTTGCAGAAAAGTGGGAGGATTTTCTATAACAAAAAAAAAAAAATGCACTTGTCGAAGCATATGTGCATCACTTAGCACATAGCACCAATTAATATGTTCTTCCAGAATTTTGATCCTTTCCCATTAGCATCATCAGATACTGAGCTATTGCCATGTTTTCTGTTAGGAATTTTTAATTAAATTTATTTTCTTTTTAAAGGATATGAGAATTCCTATTCCAAGTAACTGGCAGGAGGGTTTTTATGGAGTTTGGTGTTTGAAAGTTTTATTCTTGACAGCTCGTAGCAGACGCATAAAATACAATAAAATGTCAAATTGTACGCAGAGTAATGGCATTTGTTTTGGACATTAGCAGGGGCCACAATCCGTAGCCCTGCTTGGATTTGCGATGCTTGACGGCTGCTATATATCATCAGAATATTTTATTATTATTTTTAACTTTTTTTTGTGGCTACTCCATGTATTATTTTTTGGTAGAGACGACTTGGACTGAACTAGTACTATATCGATGATCTAATCTGTTTATTTTATGGGTGTTTGTGTATATATAGATGATTGATGAAAAAAAAAAATTAAATTGATGTGATAATGCAATCACATATTTATCATATTTGTCCCAAAAAAATATATATATATATATATATATGTATAGTGCTTGTTGTGTGATCAATATATAAGGTGAAAAATAAAATAAAATTCATCCTGTGATAAATATTATTTTTAAAATTTTTACTTTTATGATGTATTCGTTTATTTACAAATTTTAGCATAAAAACAATGTAGGGCCATTGGAAGTGATGATGTTTCACTGAAAATTACCCACTGTGGAGTGTGTTATGCTGATGTTATAACTACCAGGAATAAATTTGGACGCTCGAAGTACCCAGTAGTGCCAGGGTAAGTATGTCCTCGATTTTCGCATTTCAATTTTTCTACTAACGTTCTGTTTGTTTAGGCAGGAAATCAATTTTAGAAAATAAGTTTTTGCATTTTTTGGCATTTAATATAATAGAAAACAAAAGTCAACTTAAATTTAGTTTCATAGTTCACGGAAAATGAGTCAATTTAGACATAAAATATTTTTTTAATTTTAGAGGGCGAAAAATATTTTTTAAATTAAAATTTTATCAGTCACTACCGTCGTCACGGTTACAACCACCATCACCGTCATCTCTGCCACCACTATTGCCACTACAACCACCACCACACCAACACCTCCACCTCCACTCTATCCTATCGCCGCCGCCACTAATGCAGCTATTAATTTATTAGTTCTAATAATGTAACCAAACGTAGTGTTTGATAGAAAATGTTTTACGCCAAAACAAACTCGAAGCGTAAGGTCATTCTATAACTCACAATCTTCTCATGAACTGATGTGTGTATATATATATATATAATAACATTGCATGACAGACATGAGATTGTTGGAATTGTTAAAGAGGTTGGTTCAAATGTTCGTCAATTCAAAGTTGGAGACCATGTTGGAGTGGGAACTTATGTGAATTCATGTAGAGATTGTGAGTATTGTGGTATGGATATGGATAATTACTGCTCCAAGGGACCTGTCGGGACAATCAATCATCTCGATGTCGATGGTACAATCACCAAGGGTGGACATTCTAGTCACATTGTTGTTCATGAAAGGTAAGCTCGCTTTTTTTTTCTCATTTTTTTTTTGTGCAAATTATTAGTCTCTATATTTTGACCTTTATATTATTTTAATTATTTTAATTTTAATTGACTCGATTTTAATTATGAATTTATATTTTTGTCTCTATTTGTTTCAATTGATTATGCATGCTCGCCTTTTTTTTAATGGAAAATGTATGTGTGATGGCACGCGTATACATTTTTTTTTTGGTCTCAACCAACTCATGAGCCATTTTTTATAAAAAAAAAAAACTTCAATCAACATTATCAATTGGATCAAATTGACACAAAATCTAAGATTAATAATCAAAATCAAGTCAATTAACAGTGCATAGAGTAAATTGATAGCAGGGACAAACTGCAGAAGAAGTTGCATATGGTAGCTGTAGCTGTGATCCAATATTTCTTGAGGGCCCAAACCAGACATTTAGGCCCAAGGATTTATGAACAATCAAAGCCTTTGACTCGGAAGGAATTTTTTTTTTGGGTCAATTTTTGGCTAATTAGGCAAACTATTATGGCCTCGTTTGACAACTTTCAATTTTAGTTAAAAAGTTAAAAAGTCACTATAAATTGTCACATTACTCTTTTTACTTTTTTATACATCTTTTCATAAAAAAATTAAAAAGTTATTAAAATAGTCTGTTCCCAAACGAAGCCTAAGTTATCTTAAAATTGAGCGTCTCTGGCTATGAGATTTGAAACTTAAGCATCACATATGTTTGGTAACAGAGCATCTCATCTGGGCCAACACTCTGGTCTACTCATTCTTTATATTTTTTAGAACAATCTAATAGGGGTGATTTGACATGTTCTAAATAAGTATACTTTTTGATTTTTTATAAAAAATTGTGTAGAAAAGTAGAGAGAAGATATTGATTGATGTGACCTAAAAAAGATAAAAAGATTGACTAAATTAGTGTATGACATGTTTGGATCATACTGCTTCTAATTGCCTTCATATATGGCTGACATTGTTGGCCAAACAAGGCAACTGATGTGTTGAATTTGAATTCCGCATTCATGATATCAAAACAAACACTAACAATGTTGTCAACTATAAAGGCCATGAATTTGAATTCCGCATTCATGAAATTATCTCTATCCAGTATATAAATGAAGCTTTAGAGCGGCTTATAAAAGGGGATGTGAAATACCGATTTGTTATTAATATAGAGAACTCTTTGAAATGAAACAATGGTGAAAAAATAAACAAATAAATAAAGGGGAGATTACTATTTAGGGGAATTTTGAAGAATTATTACACAATTGTGAAAAAAATTATCATTATTATTATTAATGTTTGCCATCTTTTTCTAATTTTTTTTTTTCCTAACCACCAATGATATGTAATTTTCCAATTTATAAACAATCAATGTTTGTGATGTTAGTAAAAATAAACCAACTGGGCTAGTCCAGTTGGCTAATTCGGACACTTTTATTTAGGAGGTCAAGGGTTTGACAATTTCTTTTCCATTATGAAAATCTTTGTTATATTATCGTTCATTTCTCTCAAATTATGAGGTTTTTTCTTAAGTTAGTTGATTGTTGAATAATTTTTTCCCCCAGTAATATGAGGATCCTTGTTGGGTTAAGTATTAGGCTTCTACAATTATTGGATTATGCATGTGTAACACTCTTTTGACAGATAAAACAATTGTGCCTCTCTCTCTCTCTATCCTCTCTCACTTTCTCAAATTATTGTTTCAATGTTAGTAAAAATAAACCTACTGGGCTAGTCCAGTTGGCTAATTCGGACACTTTTATTTAGGAGGTCAAGGGTTTGACAATTTCTTTTCCATTATGAAAATCTTTGTTATATTATCGTTCATTTCTCTCAAATTATGAGGTTTTTTCTTAAGTTAGTTGATTGTTGAATAATTTTTTCCCCCAGTAATATGAGGATCCTTGTTGGGTTAAGTATTAGGCTTCTACAATTATTGGATTATGCATGTGTAGATGTTTTGAGGTAGAAAGGGTCAATGGATAATACTCCCTTAATTGGAGATGATAAACTTTATCGAGATTGTTGGGATGTCTCACGTTGTTTTCTACCAAAATAGCTTAATTATAGGGGTGTAAAAATGGCCCGTGACCCATCGGCGGTCCAAAACTCACCTGAAGTTCAAGGTGAGCCCAGCCCGTTTAAACCCGGTTAGGTTCGGGCCCGAGCCTAACCCAGTATCTTGGACTTGGGCCTTCCATTTGGGGCCCGGCCCGGCCCACCCATCCGGCCCTCTCTCTACCAATGGTCAAATTCTAAAAAATAAAAATAAAAAACAACTTGCAATGGTTAAATAATTAAAAAAAAATAAAAAATAAAAAATAAAAAAAGATTGATCTTATAGAAATAAAAAAATTAAAATAGTTAAATACAAATTAATCTTGTAAAAATAAAAATTTATATAGTTAAATAAATAACATTAATAAAATAAAAATAAAATAAAAAATAATAATAGTTTATTAAATTAAAATCAAACTAATAATAGGTTTTTCTTTGGCCGAGAGAGAGAGAAAGAGAGAGAAATAGAGTGTGATGTGACCCACTGGTACACAGTCACTATGGCTGGCTGCTATAGCAGCCGAAACAAAAAAGGAGAGAGAGAGAGAGAGAAATAGAGTGTGGGAGCCTAGCCTACTCTACTATAGCTGCCTAATCTAGTATGTCACGTCCGTCCCTACTAGCCTAGCCAAAATTGGTCTGTTGCATCTTCTCATCAATCACTCAACTTAAACGGTAATATTTATACAAATGGTCATAATTAAAACTACTATAAATATTTTTCATTTTTCAAAATAAATCTCACAATAAATAATTATCTCTCTCTCTCTCTCTCTCTTAAACTCTCTCAATCTCTTTTAAACTCTCAATCTCTCTTAACTCTCAATTAATTTTGAAGTGTCATCCCTAAGTGACAATTGCAATTGTGCAATAAGAAAATTTTATCAGAAAAAACAAATTTCTGTATTGCATTCGCCAGTCGGTAACATTAATTAGTTTAATTAAATTTATTAGCTACTCATTTTTTCATTAATTATTTGTGCACATATATTAATTATTATTTTTTACTGATTGTATTTATACATTATTTAAATTAATTGTTAATTTTTATATATTGTTTTACTTACATTACTATGGATTCTAATATGCCTAATGTTATGTCGATGTTGACACATATACTACACAACATGAATCTGTTAATTCTCCTTCTAATATCCCTCTTCCAACAGCTAGGTCATCATCTAAGAGCAGAAGTAATAGTGTTTGACAACATTTTGAAAAAATATCTATAAATAATCCTAATGGTACAATTACATTTAAAACAAAATGTAAATATTGTGCACATTTACTTAGTGCTGTATATGCAGGGAGTACTAATCATCTAAAAAGGCATGCTAACAAACATTTACAAAGTCAACAACCTGATATTCGATGTCAAATGCAATTAGGGCTTCGTCAACTGGTAATTTGCAAACATTTTCATATGATCCTATACGTGCACAAAATTCTGTAGTTGATTATATTATTAAAAAAGAACAATCTTTTACTACTAATGAATGTCCCGATTTTACCGAAATGATTCACGAAAGTTTTGCACCGCAATATCAAAATTTTTCAAGACATACTACTAGAAACAGGATTTTAAAAAAAATTTGAGGATGTTAAAAAGTGAATAATTTGACATCTTTAAAAATTTGAATAGAAGAGTTTGTTTAACATCTGATTTGTAGTCAAATAATGGTTTTGAATATCATATATCACTGCACATTTTATTAATAATAATTGAAAATTAAATAAAAGAATTATTTCATTTAAGTTAGTTAAACTTCCATATTATAATCAAAATGTATTATATGAGTGAGCTTTACAAAATAAAATATTTACGATTAGTTTAGATAATATATCATATTATAATCAAACTGTAACCCATTTAAAATCAACTTTACAATTGCTTATTGATGGTGATTTATTTCATGTTCGTTGTTGTGCCTATATTTTAAATTTGATTGTTAACGAAGCTATGCATGTATACGAGACTTATGTACTTGTAATAAAAAATGCAATTGTTACTGTTATGTCTTCTGGTAATTGAATTTCATAATATAGAAAAATTTGTCAACGATAAAATATGCTATTTAAAAAATTAATTTTAGATGTAGATAGTAGGTGAAATTCAACATATAATATGTTAAAAATAGCTTGTAAACAAAGAAAAATAATAGATTTATTTTTTGCAACAATATTAATAGGAGGAGTACTGACTCCCACAGAACTTAATTGGCGCCAAGTAGCCTTGTATAAAGATTTTTTAAAAGTTTTCGATACTTCAATAAAATTATTTTCTTATATATATATATATTCCTACTTAACCATTTGTTTTACATATACTAGCAGAAATAATTAAAGTCTTCATAAAGTATATGGGTAATGAATATTATGTAACCATTATTTTTTCAATGAAAGAAAAATTTGATAAATATTTTGATCATTTGCCTCATCTATTAGGTTTAGCCATAATAATTGATCGTAGACATAAAGAAATTAGTTTACAAGAATTTTTAGAGTGACTTTTTGTTGATCAAACACAGTTTGCCCCTATAGCGACCCCGGTCTTTTCCCATTTGATTATTGTATCCGGACTGTTCCGTAGATTCTGTCATTGTATAATGGTTGTTGTTGTTGTTCCTTATTTTCTCCTTTGGAATTATAGGATGTGTTGGGCAGGTTTGTTCAGGTTGGTTGGGTTTAGAAACCAAGTGTTGCTGTCCAGAATTTTGGTTATTCGCTCGAGCGAGGAGTTTGTCGCTCGAGCGAGATGTTGTTTTGGTTATTCGCTCGAGCCGGGGTTTGGTAGCTCGAGCGAGAGTTTGCGTCTGGGTTGGACCTGTAGCTTTGCATTCTTGGCTCGAGCGAGCTTTTCTTCGCTCGAGCGAGTTAGTTTGTTCTTCGCTCGAGCAGTTGATCAAACACAGTTTGCCCCTATTATGCAAACACGTAATAGATTATTTGAAGAATAGAGAGCAGCTGCACCTGTAAATACACCTACACACACTGCACTAGCAGTCTCATCTTGAGGCGAGAGATTAAGTGTTTTTTTAGCAATAAAAAATAGAAGAATATCTCAATATACAAGTGTACGTAATTCTGAACTACAACGTTATTTGGAAAGCTCGTCAGTGAATGATTCCGATGATTTTGACATTTTGGAATGGTGGAAACAAAATGAAACTATGTGATCTGTGGTTTCACAGATGGCTCGTGATATAGTAACCGTTCTTATTTCTACAGTTGCTTCGGAAACAACTTTTAGTGCAGGTGGACGGATGTTGAACGATTACCAGAACATGCTTTCACCCGAAATGGTTGAGGCACTGATGATATCTAGAGATCATATGCACACACTTATAAGAAGACAAAATTATATTGAAAATGAGTGAATTCAAAATGACTTGGATGACATATCCTTAGGCAACGCAACTGAAATGTCTGTCTCCTCCGATGATTGATCAACAATTTATTTTTTACTATTTCATTTCATTTTTTTTTTGGTTCTTTTGTTTTTTGTATTAAATTATTGAAGTGGAGTATAATGCAAATGATTGGTAAGTTAGTAGGTGCCAACTTAGTTGGGATGTACTTGACTTATAGTGATGCAATTGCTCTACCATCATCAGTAATCTACACCTAATTCATTTAATAATATCAATTTTTGTAATATTTTATTTCATTTTGAAATAAAAATTATTCATTCAATAAATGTTATAAAAATAATTTAACATTGCAATATTGAAAGTTTCATTTTCATATATATAAAATTATTCATTTCGTAAGAAAAAAATTACATAATTGCATACTTTTTTAGTTATAAATTCATAATTATAAAAACATAAGTCATACATAATTAAATTTAAATATCACTATGAAACATTACATAACCAAACAAAATATCTCATTAATCTTAATTAAAATACTCTAGTATAATTTTTTTAAATTTTTTATTCCTAATATAAAAAATAAAAATAAAAACCCGACTAGGCCCGGCACGCGGCCCAAGCCCTTGGCCCTATTATGAGTGGGCTTGGGCCCCCATTTTTTGGCCCATGGGCCGGCCCAACCCGGCCAACTAAAAATGCACGAGCCTATGAAGCCCGCTTGAGTCGGTTCAAGCCCGGGCCCGAATGGGCTAAGCTGGGCCGGGCGATTATTAGATCCCTACCTAACTGGGTAGCTTTACATAGAATAATACCACGTGTCCAAACTCAGGCCTAGGTAATTATAAGATATTTTAGTTTCCGCAACAATAATCAATGTCATTTTGGGAAGATTGGAAAAAAGCAGAGTTTTCATGCATACAAAAAAAAAAAAAAAAACAAAGGCAGACAAAAACGCAACAAAACAATTTGGGAAGTGATAAAAACACAAACTTGTGAAATTACATAACTACCCTCCATGTTAACAAATTGGGGCCTAGGGAAAAACACTTGCTTATTTCCTTCTCCTCCTAGCTGCTGTGATTTCCTCCTCCACGTTACTACACTACTCTGCAACTCCCTCCAACAATCCACGACATAGCCGTCGCCCATTGGCGCTGCCTCCGGAATCGTCATCCACGTTCTCTCCGTCACCAGATCTGCAGCATCAGGAAATCCTAGAAACCCTCCTCTGTTGTGATATTTTCGCAAGTATGTGCAAAATAATTTTCATGGAAATTTCGTTCAAAAAACAAGGGATCAGCTGGTTATAAAACTTGTATGCCAAAAAAATTGCTCCATATTTGCTTTCACTTGTCAGATCTTGCTTTCTGTGATGTTGTATTTTTGATCTTTGGGCCTCGCTGTTCTATGAACACAGACAAATGACACCCTGTCTGTTCTGCTACGGAGTTCTCCCATCGCTACTATTGCTGCCTTTCTATCAATCACTATACAAATAAATGAAAAAAAAAAAAAAAATTGCACAGAGAATGGATGCTTTTATTAAAAACATGCTTCTGTTATAATTTTTGTTTTCAAATGACAAAATCAAGACTTGTCATATAATTTTCTATTGATTTTATATACAATTATTCTGTTGATAATGTATAGTGTGCATTGGTCACTAGGCAAATATGTGCGACTACAAATTTTTGTATGCACGATTGCATATATTTTTTGGTTTAAAACAATTGAATCATATAGAATTTGAAAATATTAGGCCATAACTAAATATTTGAAAAGACCAAAATAATTTTAGAAACTCTTGTGCCAAGATATATATATATATATATATATTATGCATGCATAAAAGATAGGAAAAGAGGATGGCAAAATTTGAGTTACCAAGACAATAGGGGAATATTTTTGAGCAAAGACATTTTGATTAGTGAGGCATTGATTAACCCATGGGCCTGAGACAAAGAGAATTGCAGCTTGAAATGGAGCTGATTGATACAACAACTGTGTAGAAGATACATTCAGTCTCTTTTGTAGCTGAACATTAGGTTCAGAAAAAGCAGAAAAAAAAACCCTACTCATCAACTAAAGAGGGCATACAATAATCTAATTTGTACAAACTATATTACTTAAATGTCATTAAAAAAAAAATGTCCAATACATGAGATTCTTGTTATTGTATTGACTTGGTTCATATAGTTTTAATTCTATCAATTTTACTCTTTAATTCTTCACACTATATCAAATTGGTTAAATTTATAACATGTCCAAAAAAAAAAAAGATTATAGAGATGGCGTCTTCCATGTTAATTGCCACTTCATCATGGCCACCGAGGATGTGTGCATGTGGCGTTGGACATTGCGTTGTCAAGATATTCAGATCTGCCAATAACCCTGGTCATGCGTACTACATTTGCTCTAGTCGTACGGTGCGTTTGTGTTGCCCCTCTCTTATGCAGTTAGTCATGTGGTTATTCATTTGTCGTTATGTCGCATAGCATGCAGTCTAACTATGGATTTCACTTTTGTACGGTAGTGATGTGTTGCATGAGTTGGTTGGTGTGATGAGTTTCGCAGCAAAAGATTTGATACTGACCACCTACCTACTGTTGTCAATATAGGGTTACGTGCGGACGTTGTTTGCATAGATCAGAGCCTACGTACACTTAGGATTGTCATCGGTGTTTTGTGTGCCGTTGTTTTTGTGTTGTTGTTTCGTATCTGATGCATTGTCATGGATGTTGTTACATTTACGTTTTGTTTTGTATCACCTATGTAGTTGTTGTCTGTAATGTGTTTGTCCTGTATTACATAGCATTTTTGCAACGTGTTATAGAAGCCATCTTTGTACTAGTACATGTATAACTTCAATAATTGCCTATGGACTTCGATTTCGGATTTGGACATGAAAAACATATATACTCTAATTTTTTGAAATTGATACATCATTAACTTTACAAGCAGGATTGCATTTCTCAGAACTCCAGGTACACCAATCGCACTGCTCCTGGCAACGAACCGTTCATCACCCCGTACCCCTTCCAAGAATCGAGGTAAGACTATCACAGCAACCCAACAACAACTAGTCCACAAATGCCAGCTCGGCAGTGACAATAAAAAGCCATTTCTACAACTCGTCATTGCTGAAATGGACATTGGTAATCGACAACCATGCGGATTGTCAATGACTAGGTATAAGAACGTTGCCAACAAGTTTTTAGACAAAATCGGATTGCTACATTCTGCCAAACAAATGAAAAACAAATTTGACAACTTGAAGAAAGATTAGGTTGCGTGAAAGAAACTGGAGAATGCTAGCCAAGGCTTGACAGAGCTGGGTACGACCATGAGACGAGTTTGTTCATTGCACCTGACCATTGGTGGGCCAAAATGTAAGCGGTATGTATTGCAATAATTTATTTTTCCCATTAATCTTGTACCAGTATTTTTTATTTGTAATGCCATATGTTTACGTAACTACCTTTAAAAATCAAAGCAATTCCTTAATATACTAATGTTATCCTCCAGCTAATTATGGCACGGTTACAATAATTATTTGTAATGTTTTCATTATTAGTTGCAACATTTTTATTTATTATTTCTTGTGCACCGCACAACTTGCCGTGTTTACATTAATTGAATGGTTATAATCATTGTTTCAGAATTATTTCTTATAATCCCTTGAACTATAAAGGTACAATTGAGTGGTGCACATTCTCAATTATGTAATTCAGTTTTATTTGCTTTTATTGTCATTACTGCTACACTTGCAACCCTGAAAATAAATTGCTACATTTACTTACATATGTGTTTTCTTCTGTCTCAAATGAACAACCGATGTGCTAAGTTCAGGACCAAGCCTCTAGAGCACTTGGACCTTATGGAGCAGGTGTACTCTAGCGCAGCTGCGATAGGGAAACATGCATGGACTCCAACTGAACTGCGTAATGATGATGCTGACGCGGCCAATGCCAACGGGGACAGCGGGATTGGACCTCTCAGTGCTAGCACACCATTACATCCCGTCCATGATACTATCAGCGAGAACGTGGTAGATAGTTCCCTGTTCGACAATGCTCCCCCGCAGTTAGCCGCTGACAGATCAGCCAATGCAAAACGTCGTGAGTAGGCAGCGCCTGATACTGTCACTAGAGGCTTGGTCCTGAACTTAGCACCCATTGTTGAGGATTTGGGTAATGTCTGCAGAGTGTAAAAGCCAGAACATGCCACTGTTGTGTCACATGGTGGTTATGCAAGTGTGTCATGGCTATTTTTCGTGCCCTTTGTTTATTTATTTAAATTTCTGTATTAATTTATTTATTTAGTTGTTTGTGGTTTTATTTATTTATTTAATTATTTTTCACTTATTTATTTATTTAGGTAGTTTTTATTTATTTATTTATTAAAATTATTTATTTATTAATTTCTTGTAGTATTTATTTATTTATTTGCATTTGTGTATATATTTATGTAGTTTTTTATTTTTGATTCTATTTGTTTACTTATTTATATTTCTGTAATTGTATTAGTATATTTATTAATCATTTGTGGTCATTGTTTATTTATTTACATTTTTGTATTTATTTATTGCTATATTTATTTTTGGTTGTATTTAATTATTTATTTATAGTTCCTTATTTATTTAGTAATTAAATTTTTTTGATTTATTTATTTATTTAGATTTCTGAATATATTGAATTATTTACAATTTTTTTGGTGCAATATTTATGTAATTATTTGTGTCTCACGTGAAACTAAAGAAAATGAACTGTTGCTTAATTATATTGACGCATCAGACTAGAATATTGTACCCACTTTCAGCATGTATTACCATTCACATGGTATTGTCACTTATTTGATTTTCATGCATCACATGGCCACAGTAGTATATGTGGTACTTGAACTTGTCAAACAAGTGCTATATATGATGGAGTTGATAGTATGTTCGTATGGAAACTACAACTTGGTGGCACATAATTTGTTGAGTTGGAGTTGTTTTCCAGATTTCCCTTTTGTGGAACAAGTGCTGCATTTCATTTTTTCTTTACTTCACAGTAACATAACCTCGCCAAAGGGCTGGTATGTGCCTGACAGTAATATGTATTTTTTCCCGGTATTAATGGTTCTAACAAAACCTATTTCTTAAACTGTATGCAAATCTTGTAAAACAAAATTCGATGGTTTGCAGCGTCCATGGATCCCCAAGGGGGTACTAGCTCCGGAGTTATACGCAATAGCCAAATAAATGCATAGATACGAGAGACGATTGGAGAAATGGAATCGACGACATCAATGATATGGATGGAAATTGCATGCATTGCCAATGAGTACGCGTATGTTGATAGGACTCCATTTCACACATCATTATTGATTGGTCGCATGTGGATGAAGGAGATACTTCGAGGTCGGAATGAAGCATTTTAGCGAAATTTTTGGATGTTAAAGGATGTGTTCTTATTGTTATGCAAGACATTAGTTGAGGATTTCGGCCTCCCACTTCCACAGCATCCCCATGGTATGGATGTAGTTAAGAGTGTCGGCATGTTCATATTTGTGTTGCGGGGCTTCCCGAGTTGGGATATTGATGACCGTTTCCAACACTGGGGAGAAACAGTATGGCGTCATGTAATGCGAGTTCTTAAAGACATGAAGTTGTTTACAATTGTACACTGTCGACAGACGGGGTCACAACACAGCTGACATCTGTACTTATAGTCTCGACGAAAATATTTACTATTCAGAGTGAGTTTAATCATTTACCGAACATTTCATGAATAGTAACCACATGCAGAAAACAAGGGATTACAATTTTCGGGTAAATGTGTTCGTCATTGTCACTTACGCAATTGCTTTGTATGCTTGCGCAAGACTATATTGGCGCGCTAGACGGCACACACGTGGAGGCACATCTCCCGCCGTGGGAGGCAGTGCCATATTTTGACCATAAAGGATAGCACACGCAAAACATACTGGCCGTGTGTGATGTCGACTTGTGTTTTACTTTTATCTCTTGAGGATGGGAGGGTAGTATGCACGACGGCAGAGTTTTTAACGAAGTGGCACAGGACCCGGCCAAACAATTCGCCAACCCAGAAGAAGGTTAGCTGAACAAGGGGTGTTCAATGTTGTTGTTAGTTGTGCGCATTTAATTAATGAATGATGTTACTAATGCAAAATTATATTATTACAACTAGGAAAATATTACCTTGTTGATGCGGGGTACAAGAACCAAAAAAGTTTTTTGGCGCCGTTTAAGAGATGTCGATACCACTAGGAAGAGTTTCGTGCTACTGGACGAACAAGAAATGCAAACGAAGTTTTCAACATGGTGAACTCCTCCTTACGGAGTGCAATTGAACGTACGTTTGGAGCATAGAAAGCGCAATGAGGATTCCTACATAACATGTCTCGATATGAATTTGGGAAAGTGTAGGTGCCATTGTTCGGGGCTTCAATGGCACTACAAAATTTTATACGCCGCAACTCCAATGACGATGAAGCCTTTAACAGGGTTGCCAATGCAGAGAATTTTACTTTCAACGTGTAACAACCCCGATCCATAATTAAGTACTCATCCGTAATTAACGATGCTAATGAAGGGATTAAAATAAATTATGTGTTTATTATGTATTTTGTATGTTATTTGGCTTTCTATCTGTTACTCGTAATAATATCTATTAGGAATTTTGTTTTGATCTAAAAAATAAAGGCCTTATCGATATCCGAAACTAAAATTGATTACGTTAATATGTTATTTGGAATTTTTAGAATCATATGGCTAATTTTATTAAAAATTGATTCAGTCTGATTAATTAAGTTGTGTTTGGCAAGCCTTATGTTCTAATTAATGTATTATGTCATTATAACTTTATATACAACACATTAAGCTCAATTGAGCTCATTTCTTCAACACTTTGAGCTCCCAAATCTGAATCAACATTTTAGAGAGAGGAGAGACTCCATTTTAGAGAGAGAAAGTGTAGATTCAAGATAAAAGTTGAGGATTTTGCTAGAGTAGCTCAAGTTTGGCAAGAATCTTGTGTATTTGAAGGCTTTTCGTGAGCATCTAATCCATAATTCATGAAGATTGTGTGTTGTAGAGATGCATTCATGGAGTTATCATAATCATTTGCATGTATTTCACATGAGTTTGTCAAGAAGATGAAGAATTTGCTTATAATTGTTACATGCATGGAAGTATGAGTGTTACATCATCATTTTGATCAAAAGCTTTATTATTATGTTGTATTGGGACCATGAAATTAACATGCATGCATGTTAGATCAAGTTTTGTAAGTAAATTTCATGTTTGAGGAGTCTTAGAAAAGAATTAAGAAGAGAATTCTACTTGTATGCCTAAACAAGTTGGGTTTTGTTATGTCAAGTTTGATTTTGGTCATTCATGTGGAAATTATGAATGATTGGTACATGCATGGTTGAATTATCATGTTTTGAACCTTGATTTCATGTTTTGAAAAGGAATTTCTTACATACATAAAGCTTATAAGCTCAATTTGCTAACTTCATGAGTTTTTGAGAAAATAGGTTGAAAGGTTTTACATGCATGCTTTGTTTCTTAAGTTTCAAGATAAATTTTGAGCTAGTGGCAAGCTCTTGAGCCATGATTTCATGAAATAATCCTTAATTCATCATATTTTTCAAGTTTACAAATGTTATCTCAAGTTTTAGGGCTCAAGAGTTGAGTTTTGGAGAGTTGACTTCGAGTTTTGAGCTTGGAAGCGCAATCTGGAAATCTCAGATTCTGCTTCCCCGCTCGAGTGACGGATTCTCCGCTCGAGCGATCACTCTATGACCTTACACTTCCGCTCAAGCGACCTGAAGTTCGCTCGAGCGTGAAATGCAAGGTCCCAGAAGTTTTATGTCTTTGCAGACCGCTCGAGCGAAGGAAGTTGAGCTCAAGTGACCACTCACGTTTTGCATGTTCGCTCGAGCGGGGACCTTGTTTTCAGAAATTTGACAAAGTGTTTCAACTCATATTTTAGCATCATCGTTGCATCTTAGGCATTCCTAAGCCTTAATTAAGCCATAGTAATGAGGATATGAATTAGAGACACACTAAGGAAAGAATGTATTAAGTTAAGAGATTACAAGTGTGTGTTTTGGGCAATGCGTTTAGCAAGAACAAGAAACCTATATAAAGTGAACTAATCCGTAATGGCCAAGTATATGTATAATGATAAGATATGTTTGTGTTATGTACTTTTGTGTTTGTAAGTCAACGTCCGAAGATTGATTGACCGTTTACGAGAGCCCACTGTGAGTAACGTTATTGTAAAGATATGTTCATATAAATTATGTTCGAAATGAGACTTGATAAGTTACGATTTTTGATATGATATTTGTTTATGTAAACAAACGTCCTATGCTTGAAATCTATTATGGCATCCATAGATAGTTCCAAGTCATGGGGGACGGTATGTTAATGCGGGTCTATGACATATATGTGATTACGAGATCTCGTTAGCCACTTCATTGTGGTGATATATGTTTAATCGGTATCCAGAACCGGTTACTCTAGTCGGAAGACGATATGTAATGTGTTCTATGGGATGCACCATTATTATGTTCATATATGAGAATGATTATGTTACGATCTGTTTATGATTAAGAAATGTTCGGAATTCGTTCACTAACCCTTTCACCTTAATGTTATTCACTGGGCTTTAGCTCACTGTGTGTATATATATGTATAGGTGAGCATTTTGGAGATCAGGCATGAAGACCTTTGTCTAGATTTGTGTTCTATTGTCAGCCAACCATTGTGCCTCACGTGGAGGTTCTTGAAATGTCACGTGTTATAAGTTCCTGTTGTTTCTGTATATAAGACTTTATTTATTTTTGTTGGTTGTACTTAAGATGCTATAGTTAATGTGTGTGGATATAATGTAAGAATGACTTCTAGATATGTATATAAAGCTTTAAATATTCTATTTCATATAAGTCAATACATCTCATTAGACAATTGTATTATTTATGTATTTGTTTCCGCTAGCCCCTTATTTTGTTAGTCTGTTTTAGAGGCCTTCGGTAATCTTAGGATTACTGGCCAGTTACGATGCTAAACTTATAGGGGCGGGTTTGGGTCATGACACAACAACATGCTAAATG